ATGCGAGTAAAAGTGTCCTGATCCTGAACATTTTCTCCTTCCTCTTTCAGGACTTCTATTACCGAATGGAAAAGTGCTTTCACGACCGAACTGGGTTTGGCCATGTAGAATCCGGTATTGATATCGTCCACAAAGTCGATCATGTACGCCATGTCCGCATTCTTGGACACGTATTCGATGTGGGCGGGGATGTTGGGATTCAGCCAGACGATGTCGATGTCCGAGAACAGCACCGTGTGACCCCAGGAGAGCAGTTTGTCGGCGACGATCACTTTGGTTTGGGTGAGGACGTTGTAAACCTCGATGCCCCTGAGTACATGGGTGGAGATGGGCCCGTGCAACCACTTTTGAGGCACGACGACGGCGTTTGCACTAAGCGACCTCTCGGCGATCGCCTCGTATAGCATGGTGTCCAAGCAGAAGACGAGGAACTTTTGATAGTTGTTGCGCTTTAAGCTGGCGATCCAGTTGAGGGTGAGCTCTCGATAGCCGTTGTTGGCCACTGTGATGATGATGTATTTACCATCTACCTTGTTTTTCTCGANCTTTCACGACCGAACTGGGTTTGGCCATGTAGAATCCGGTATTGATATCGTCCACAAAGTCGATCATGTACGCCATGTCCGCATTCTTGGACACGTATTCGATGTGGGCGGGGATGTTGGGATTCAGCCAGACGATGTCGATGTCCGAGAACAGCACCGTGTGACCCCAGGAGAGCAGTTTGTCGGCGACGATCACTTTGGTTTGGGTGAGGACGTTGTAAACCTCGATGCCCCTGAGTACATGGGTGGAGATGGGCCCGTGCAACCACTTTTGAGGCACGACGACGGCGTTTGCACTAAGCGACCTCTCGGCGATCGCCTCGTATAGCATGGTGTCCAAGCAGAAGACGAGGAACTTTTGATAGTTGTTGCGCTTTAAGCTGGCGATCCAGTTGAGGGTGAGCTCTCGATAGCCGTTGTTGGCCACTGTGATGATGATGTATTTACCATCTACCTTGTTTTTCTCGATGAGTCGAATCGCCTCCTCCTCCCAGTCATCGTCCTTCATGCTGGATAGGCGCTGCTCGATGGCCTCCTTGCCAGCAGCATCCACCACCGCGAACGAGAACTTCTCTACAGGCGGCTGCGGCTGTGAATCTATCGGTTGTGGCTTTGGCTGATCCTGCTGGAACACCTGCACGATGCCTTCGAATAGACAGCGGATCAAAGTCAAGAACAGCACCAGCAATAACGCTGTCAGCAACAAAGTCACTTTAGAGTGAGTCTTGAAAACTTTCATAGTATTCCCCGCTTTTCTGTTGGAGAGAACAAATACACTATTCATTTCATTCATGTTAAAATACAGGGTGTCCCATAAGTCACTATGCCATTTCAAAAATGCACATTACTAAACAGTTGTAACGAAAAAGAAGTAACATTAACTGAACCATAGCAAGTCATTTGGAGTTGTTTTGGCAAAAATGGAGGTATTTCTGCAGTTGGAAAGTGACTCAAAATGCCTTCTGCCTATATCTATAGATTTATCATTACGCTCACCACCAAAATATTGCCGAAACTCCCTTTGGACCGTGGTGGGACTCTCAAGAAACTCCCTTCAGGTAGCAACAATCCTTCGTTGCTCAAGCATCAATTGTTGAGCCTTTTCATATGACAGAGAAAGCAAATTAAATAAGATATATTTTCATTTTTCTCAGGTCTATTTTAAATTAAGAGAGAAAAACATGAACTTTAGGAATTTTTTTGTAGAAACGGATTCAACAAGACGTGCCAAAGTTGCCCTACAGACGTACAACTTTCTGATATGCTTTGGAAGCAATTTTTGATTGAGTCAGATTCTAAGACATTATTGTCAAAAAAATTATAAAAGAATGTTCTTTCCTTCAATGCCAACAGATGGGACCTGGTCGTGGCAATATGGAAAATATAGATGTTTGAAATGGTATAGTGACTTATGGAACACCCTGAAGTTTGACCATTCGCTCTGGGCCACGCGTAAAGGCTGATAAGGAAGCTTTAAAATATGCTCAGCTACTCAATTCATTGTTTGATACGAACAACACTTCCCCAAAAGTTGTAAAAAGCGTCAATATTTTGCTAAAAGTTTAAATACTTCCCGCACAATAAAAAATAGTACACATTTAGATCCAAATTTATTCAACGCAATATCTCATGGATTGGGTTATCCCTTTTAAGGTTTAAATAAAGCAGTCACGGAAACTTCCAGGACTACAAAGGAAATTAGAATCTAGTGGGGGGGGGGGGGAGGTGGGCAGACAATGCTTTCCCATTGCAGAAATTAAAACCTATGAATATGTAATCTTTTGATACATATATCGGCATTTGTGGTCGTCTGACCCAGAAGTATTTCATTCACAAGCCAATTTTCTTTGAATTGTGAAATAGTGGAGCATAAACCATAGCCATATTTGTGGTGGTACGACTTATAAACTATATATAAGTCTTTCAAGTGTGCAGACGAAAACGCCTTTCGCCTGCTAGCACCTATGAAACTTCCCCCAACTGCACTTTCTGCAACTGAAAATTTCAACCCTCTAGTATGGTTCACACGCAGCGAAGGATGTCAAAGATCGAGAAAGCCGACAGTTTTCAGTTCAACTTAGCAAAGAAATTCGATATCTATAACGTTCGTCATCATGACCATGAACCTTAAAATGGCTTCGAAAACTGGTTTTAAAAAAAATTAAGTAAATTCTATGCAGGTGTTTTGATTCCCACAGGAACAATGGCGAGGTTCAAATTATAGACGTTATGGAACATATTAAAATTTCTGAAATATATTTTTTTTTATCCGCATGGGATTTAGATATTAGTTAAATCAGACATTACTTGACTCACGAGGATTCTTTCAAGGTTTCATTTGCAATACTGACCCACATTTACCCACGTTTAGACTAGCATTAATTTCCAAAGTCGCTATTCCCATACAAAAGAAGACCTACATTTACCACAAAGAAAAAAAAGAATGCCTGCATAGGATTGGAAGTAATTTTTTATTCTCGGAAGGCTAATTTTAAAATGCCACTATGTATCGGCTGTTTTCTGTTCTGAATCGGCCCTTTTCTTTGAAAAATGTCTACGAATTATTTGTTGGTGAAGCATCAATCATTCGCATTTTGGCACACTTGAAGTCATATCTCGTAAGTGATTCACTTTGAGCAGCAGAAACGGTTCCTCCCGACTTTAGATGAAAAGAAAAAGATGTGGATGCGAATGTATCCCGTGAGCCTGAGACAGCTTCATATTTGCGACAGCTCGGCATGCATACATGATGGATGCCGCTCACCATCAAGTACACGCCTACTAACCGACGATGGACGATGCAGAAACGATTAAATTTCCTTCTCTCCTCTTTTCTAACCGCCGGTCATCGATAGCTCGTGGCGTAATCTTGAGGCATTGATACAATTTACCTAATCATCTGTCACGGCAGGCGCAAAACCCATCTGCTCGTTCCGATGTCTTCCATTTTTTTGTCTCTCATTTTTTTCAGGTACAGGCGTTTTTTAAATAGTAAACTGTCTCATGCCTAATTATTGCATGCGTTTATTTCTTGAAGATCGCAATTTCTAGCGAGCACAATGTTTCTATTATTAAGAAAAATATATGATAAAAAACTAAATATGCCTCATAGGAAATAATATTATGATACAGGTTGCCCAAAGAAGAATATAAATAAATTACTTCATTCGTTGAAAAATATACGTAATAGCGACCAAAATAATGCTCAATTTGCCACATTCTGTATAATTAACAACAAATTTGAAAATGAATTGTGATTTCGTTCATTTTTGCTTCAAATGTAATCCGCTCGGCGGAGTTTCGCATTCTCTTAGAGCCAAAATTGTCCCTCGAAGGTTAATAGATTTTAGACTGCGTTGCACAAAATGATGCGGTGGTCGAGAGACAAACGGACGAGAGACACTCAAGGAGTTTTAATTGCTCGATTGCGAAGCTATGGCGGTCCATGATATGATCGCTAATGGGAAGAGGAGAAGCCCGGACACACGATGCCTTCGACGAGGAGCCACGGATGCTGCTAAACACAAGCGGACGTTAGTGAGTAGGCAATTAGGTAAACACAGTGTGGCACTTTCAAGTTCGTTCACTGAAGCCGCATTTTGCGTGGCACATCCGAACACATGAACACATGACAGCCAAGGCGGAGGGGAGAAATGAACATGCTAAGGGAATGACGATGGGAAAATGCAAATTTGACACTTTTCAGCGAAGCGGGTGACACGTGACTGGATTTCTTTCTCACCTATCGAGCTGTCAGTCCCATCCACACTCCCGCTTTCTTCCTCGTATTTAATTCTTACATTTTCTTTCCTTTGCTCACCGTAATAGCAAAGAAAACACGGAAAAATCCGTGTGTATAGGGTGGGCAAAAAAAAGCCTCTCCGAATTTTACAGTTTATGTTTCAGGGCTGGTATGGGTAGAGGAATATGGAATGAATCATTGGTGAGAGCATTTAATTGACTTTAAAATGAAGCAACTTTTAATTCAATTAAAATTTTCTTTGATTTCGTACAGTAAATGTTTCAAGCATTCGAAAAAATGAGCGCTCAAGGACGATGCCTTTCCACGTGCACATTCGAAGGATGACGTATTCAGCTGGGCACATCTTTCCTCTCTCTGCTCGAATAATGTATCCAGTAGAACTCAACAGATGTCTCCTTGCTGGCCTTGATTCATGAGAGCCTGCCTTTCCCCCATCCCCATTCACGTTATTTATATTGCCCGAGCGGAATCACGTCTCCCTCATNTTTGATTTCGTACAGTAAATGTTTCAAGCATTCGAAAAAATGAGCGCTCAAGGACGATGCCTTTCCACGTGCACATTCGAAGGATGACGTATTCAGCTGGGCACATCTTTCCTCTCTCTGCTCGAATAATGTATCCAGTAGAACTCAACAGATGTCTCCTTGCTGGCCTTGATTCATGAGAGCCTGCCTTTCCCCCATCCCCATTCACGTTATTTATATTGCCCGAGCGGAATCACGTCTCCCTCATCTGCTCCTATGTGCCTGCCATGCCTCTGTGTCTTGTGTAGAGAAGAAACAGGTTCCTCCCGTCTCTCTTTTGCTCACGCATGCCTCGGTCTACCAGCTAGCTAAGCAAAGGGGTTCATTCCAGCAAGTAGGCCTAAGCATTAGCTTCCTTCTCTTTCTTCAATCCCTTCCCGTTGGAAAATTCCACCCCCTCGTATTCCTCTCAGAGAATCGGGGAGAAAGAACATGGACGTTCATCTCACCTTCTGTACACAAATTCACTCTTTAAGCAATATTTCTCCCTGGTTGGGAAGAAAAGAGGATGGCCTTCAGAGCATGAGTCACGGTGCCCTCCTTCTCCTCCAACTTTCGCTGTCTTTCCCCATCCTCAGAAACCATTCCATGAGAGTTAACAGATTAAATAGCCGGGCTATCTTACAGATATGATCTCATTTGGCGAGGTGTCAGGCTAGTGGGACTTCCGTTGTTTTCGGTTGCAACGATTTCCTCAAGGAATGTGAAATTAACGGTCTCTTTTCGCGCCGGCGCCGTTCCCGTCCACCACGGATGCCGGATATCGCGCTGGAGTTCCGTCGGATAAATGGCCGCTTCTGCTTCCACTCTACCTCGTGCCGGTGCCTGTGTCTTCTGTTGTTGAATCAAGCGAGCGTGTGTGGGCTAAGCTATTCACCTTAGACCTGTCAACGTTCAATAAAAATCGACGTTGGTAGGCCACCGTGCTGCTTCTGAAAGTTCTGTTGCTAAGGGTTATAATAGATTTAAATTGTGGTTGGCGACGTCCGGTCAATGTCATGCATGTTAATAATATTATTCTGTGCAAATAGCACTGTGCATGAACATTCGTGCAAATGATGGCGTCTGACATGAATTCGGTGGAAGTTCTGTCCGTAGACATAATTTTCTAATTCATTCTGGAGGCTCGAGATAGCCTAGCATAGGCCTAACGTTGCATCATGCACGGAAATGCCTAGATGATCATGAGGTGAACTCACCATCGAGGAATTCTTATGGTGTTACCATGGTAAGCCTCGGCCTGACATGAAGTTGGTATTAGGGTTAGGCCAAGGTCTATAAAATCCCGACGTCTCTTCTGATTACTCACAATTTATTATTACTGCAGTGATATTCTGTGATTCCTGCAGAAAATGGAAACTGGCATGATGCCTAAGGAATGGAGGTATAAGGAAAGGAGAAAGTCTTGAAAAGTAGTTCTCACGTTATTGCTTTCACAAATTCCTGAAAACAATGGTGAAACGTGGGATCCCTCATGAAATTGAGCAATGGTGTCGTCGCTTCATTTGTGCAGTGGAACACCACTTTGGAGCGGAATTCATTTTCTGTCTCTTTTTTGGTTTCTGCTAATCAAGAGACCGAGACTCTGAAATTTGCTGTTTTGCGAAACATAAGCTGCTTTCTGTGAATGAGAGTTATTCCCATTTATGAAGTTTCCTGGGACAGGAATATCGAATATAGAAAATCATCAGTTAGTGAGGGAGTGAGTGACTGACGTTTATTACGTATGCCCCAGATGTGATAATAGCCATAAATTTGATGCATAATTTGTTCTTGGGGAGCTGATTTGAGAAAGAATGTTTTTTCTTGGGGACACTCCACGGAAGGACCTAATGGCTGCGGAGTTTTGCTTCAAGGTTTTTTCCCTCATGTTGGTCATTGCAGCTGTGAAACAAAAGATGAATATTACCTGTGAATATTACCCCTTGGAATATTACCTGTGAAGGGAAAATTTCCAAGGGGGAATTTTCAACAGTACCCTAGCCACCCCACCAGCAGAAAAGCTTCAAATTGTTTACATTTTCCTGTAGGGGATCTTGCATGAAGAAAAAATGTCTTGTGATAATGCCTGATTGGTGAAATAGCTCCAATTTGTGACGCACATTTGACGCACATTACATGATAGGGCTATCTTAGTGGTTTAAAACGAAACAGGCAAACGCAACACATTGTATGGGGTAAACCATTGCTCATCATGCAGGAAGCAAAGTGATTTAACAAGGAAACCTTCTGGAATCCGCGAATATTGACATCACAAATTTTATATAGAGCATGACTGTCCAGAGAATTCAATTTTTTGAATAAGAGAATATTCAAAAATACCTCAGGGAATCTTGTACTAGTATATACACTTTTTTAAATAGAGGAACTGACTTCATGAGGAATAGTACTTGAGTTCTTCCGAGAGGAGCACTTCTTTCTACACCGGAGTTGTTGCCTGACATTTTCTTTCTCATATCGGTCGTTGTAGTTGTGTTACAAAATGTACAAAATGAAGAAACAATTACAAGAGGGAATTTTTGAGGGGAAGCTATTGATAAAAGTCCTTCCACCTGGTACATAAAAATGAAAACAATTCAATTGTGCTATGTATTATTGTTTTTATTTCCTATATTTCCACTTTTTTCAATCTTATAATCTTGTATTACAGAAGAACATTTTGTTTAGAAGCCCAATGGGAGCAATCCCCCCCCCCCCACACACATATCGTTGTAGTATATAAGTTGTTATAGCTTCTTTGCGAGTGTAGGTGCATTAGGCAATGGATTGCAATTTTTAGCCAATTTTCACACACATCGAAAGCCACGTAATGTGAGATTATAAACTTTCTGACAACTGAAAAATAAATGGCATCGGCGATTTGATACACAGAGCCACAGTCCTGAAAATACAATGCTGAAATGAGGGGATATGCCACGCAGAATATCTTTGCAAGACTCTCGACTCGGAATGTCTTCTCATTTCATTATCAGGGAATCATATCATCCTGATGTGAGCTTCTTTTCATGTGCAGGAGAGCAAGACGGTTTCAGCAGCCACATTGAGACGCCATGGCGACTCCTGGTGCTGCAGTATCTGCCGTCATGGCAGAGCACCTCAATACATATCAACAGTATACCGATCTTGAGGAGATTCTCCGATGCCTGCTGATAAAAAAAGTAATCCAGTTAGATGAATACCATGAACAGATGGATGAGACCAGGGAAAAGAGAAAGAAGCAGGCGTTGTTCCTTCTCAGAAAGATCCCCACTGCAGGGGATGGCGCCTTTTTAGCATTTCTGGAGTGCCTTAAGGAGAAGCACCGAAACTTGGCAGAGACATTACTAACGTCCCTGGGTCAGAAAAATGAAGCTTACGCAAGAGAAGTTCGCGCCCGTAAGTGTTTTTCGCTTTATTGAGTTTCTTCATGGCTCATATTTAATTCGTGAGTGCCTGAAATCTTGAAAGCGCGTCTATATTACACTTTAATAGAACTTTAGTGAATTATAATAACTTATAGGTTAATAGATTATAAGTAAATTCAAATAACTTCCGTCCTAGTGAAAGTGGCCAGGAAAACCAGAATTTGTATGGAATACCTGATGTTGAAAGCTGAGGACCTCTCTTTGAGGGAGAGATTTATTCGATTCATCGAAGTAAATCTTGTTGAGATCGCTCTCATAGTAGAGAATATCTCCTCTACTTCCCTCTGTGGTTGCATGAAGATTAGCAGACCCATTTTCCAAAAAAAAGGATCATTCACTTCGGAGGTTAAAAGTCATAGATCCTTTTTTTTGGCATACCTTTATATTTCAGTATCAAATGTGAGATGTGAGCCCTACGTTGATATGTATGCGCCTTTTGTAGGCCAGCCTCATATTCAGCCATCATCAACTTCAATATTGGGTCATTTCCGACTTCCTCCGGGAATATTTCTTCCTGTGTGCATTTTCTCTTCCACTCAACCATATATTTAGCATTTATGTTGTAATTTCTCTCTGTACTCGGTTCTTGGCCAAGGTTACGCCACGAGTAATGTTTTGAACGTGCTCATATTCGATCTCAAGTAACAAAATGATCATGGCATTTTTCTTCTTTCACTTCTCCTTTTTGAAGTTTAGCTAATATAATTGGAGGTGAATTTATTTCAATAACCCAAGAAATGAAGTAAAGGCAAGGCATGAAAACCAGAAAAATACAACGGAACCTAAAATAGGAAGCTCTCTGGAGAGACATACGTAATGGAACTCAGAGGGATGAAGAGAGTGGATCGTGTTCCCGTAAGGCAAAATCTTTTGGTTTCTAGCAATTAATTTTATCCGTCTGGGCTAGCATCTTCAGTGAGAACACTTTCAGAAGTGATACCGGACTTATCAGGCAAGATATAAATTCTTTAGAATATATTCATCCGAAGCCATTGATAACTGGAGTTTAATAGGAGGAACATGATTGCAATTGTTATTTACATAATTTCCAATTCGCATTTTGTTTACATTGAGATGGCTGAATACACCACTCAACATGTTTGCGATATAGCATGTCTCCTTGTCTTCGGGCAGAATGGCAGGGAGGTTCGTCGACGGCAACTCAGGGAGGCTCGTCGACGGTATCTCAGGCAACAAGAGGCCAGCCCGGTGGTTCTTCTGTAAGCTGATCTCTCATTCGCTTCTGAATGTGGTGCTGAAGTAAGTTGTAACCATTCCATGTTTTGAATTCTTGTAATATTTCAGGATGTTATGTAGCTCGATACGAGAAGCGTGAAGGAAAAATGTAACAACTAATGAGAGTTCACTTAAAACCTATCACCATGAACCTCAATAATTCTCCATCCCAGTGTATACCGGTGATCAACAAAGATATCGCAAAACTAGTCACTTTCTCTGAAAAATAAAGAAAATAAACTTTTAACCACATTCATTTTCCCTATTTTGTTTCCCTTCGTAAGTCTGAGAAGGTCCTCACCCACCATTTACTTGCAAATCCTTTTAATAAGGAAATAATCAAGACCACATAATCACTCAAAAGTCGAAATGCATCTTTTGTACGGTGCACCGTGCATTAGCAGTACATAGCTCTTATTTTCACCCTCTCGCGATAATTAAATTGCTACTGCATTATCGCAATTAAAATGAGCATTTTTACTTACACAGTTGAGATACAGGTTGCATTAACCCAAGAATAACCATCGGCGCAAGTATGCTGCAAAGGCAAGGAAATGACTGAAATGTTGGCTAATCGAATTTCCTTTAGTAATTTTAAAATAGGCGCGATGTGAATTTTACGTAATTAGCTATATTGTGAACTTAAGTCAATCACTTTTTCCCACCATATAACTATTGATGCAGCTATTTCCATACCTGCAAAGCAGTAGGATACAGCTCTTGCCTTCGTTCTGCTGAAGTCAACCGTCACGAGGGTGCGCTCCGTACCAACTAATATACGTTTTTGCCGTGGTCACTGAGATATACGACATCTCGTGTGAAATCGGCTGTAAAATTCCTTTCGATCAGCAAGTGTGTACAACATTATGTAATTCATTGCAGTATTACCTGAGTTCCTTGAAAATAATCTCATTTATTGCTAAACCTAAACTGTCCAGTAAAATATTTGGAGAGAAGATTTCGTTTTTCTGCAACTTCTTTATGCGCGACGGTACAACTCGGCAATTTGAAAGTAAATGTTGCCTTTTCGTTTAACCATATCGTAATTCTCAAAAATGAGTTGTATGAACCCATTGGAAAAAGACTCTCCTTACATAGGAATATATCCTATTCCTTTCGCGATTGCAGAAACAAGGGTACAGGAAGAGTTTTTCTTATGGCGATACTATGCATTGTAATCATGTGACTTGTTCCTTCTTCACAGCTAACATGGGACAGGATCAGAGCGAACCGGCGGAGGCTACGGGATCATTTTAACCTGGACTTCAGAGAGTTGCTTCGCAGTTTGAGTGACAGGAGCGTATTCCTTCCCATCGAGGAGCAACAGATTCGTGGGATAACAACCCCCATACTTCAGTTTGATGAGTTCTTCGACCTTCTCCTGCGCAAGAATCCACAACAATACGTCCCCATTTTCCTTGAGGCACTCGTTGAAATTGGCAGGGAGGATATCAGGGATGCCTTGCAAGGTATTTTGATTACCTACTGAATGCATCATTAATTTGCTCCCCATACAAGGTAATCCTGCATTAAATGAAAGTTTCATAACGGTCTAACTCATTTTCTTGGGTATTTGCCCGTGTGTAGGATGAAGAATGGTCGGACAAATCTTGCAGAATGCACTTGTGTTGATCAAGACGACACGACCCGGCGAAAGCTTGCAAGTTATTTTCAGGCCTCTTTTTCTTCGTTACCTTTCATGATGGCAACTCATTCAATGTATCAACATGGAAATGAATACTCAATCTGATTTCTCGATGCATGATGTGCTTATCATTTACCGTCGTTCGCAAGGTGGTACGAATGTTTCAAATTCAGAAACGCTGAGCACTAAAATGAATCGGAAACTTTCATATAATGCCTGCAAAAACTCGCAGACGAGTTTGGTGCACCCCTTGTTCAAAATGGCATTGTAGATGTTTCCCAATTCATTCAGCCTAAGACACTGACGATCCCCGTGATTTTCCTGAGGAAATCCGCTTCAAAATTTAGTGAAAATTTCTGTGGCATGGAAAGTGGAAAATTAAAATACGCAACCCAATAACTTCACTCAATATATAGATAGTGTGCCATTATAATTTCACCAGTGCATGATTTCATTTAGATTTCGACAATACGAACAAAACGATGTGTCACCTCTTTGGGCATCCATCGGACCTCCAGCAAAGGAACTTCCAAGGACAATTTCCTATGGTCTTCCATTGAATGTCCTTGGATGGAATCCCTGCCCCATTGAGGCCTTCTATCTGATCTGACATCTAGCAGTGAATTCAATGAATATAAAGTTACAATAATATAAGCGAGGTCGTGCTCATCCCACCGCATGTGTCTCCCAATTTCCAAAATGCTAACGAATTGCTCTACGTAAGCTTTCATCCTCTACACGATAATTTCTCACGTACAAGCCTAAGGAAAGAATTCGTTCTAATTAATTCATTTGTTGAGGGACATAACATAGCCGAAGGAGACTGTCAGCAATTCTTGCATATTGCATGGTGAGAGTGTGGTTCCCCTTGTGAAGTAACTCTGTCCCTTCTTCATCATAATCATGCCGCATATAGCAATGAGCGAAAGCAATGTCTAGTTTGAGAGATAATGAGGGAAGTGGAGAGTTTTGGCTCAATGATTCTTCACTTTCCATTCAAACACTTCTCTCCAAGTTCTTGCCAAGGAACATGAGAGGGCGAGATTGTCAATATGCAGAAAATGGTTCTCTCCCACACCACGAATATTCATGAGCATGGAAATTCACCCTACCTGAGGATTACTATCGCTGCACCCCTTAATGGTAATCCAAAAGCTTTCTCAAAGGGAATCTGCAATGGAACCAAAGAGACGGACATCCAATAGTCCATCCAATGGACATGTCCAACGATTTTCCTTGGACGAGACATTTAGTCATCCAGTGGATGCCCGAGGAAGAAATACAATGGATGTCCAAGTGTCCTTGAGGGTATATCCAATGCATTTATTTTTGGTCAAAATTGCTACTTGGTTGCTAACTGAAAACATGCTGAAAGTTTTCGTAGTATGACTGAATTGTCACTCACTTCCCCACCAGACTATCCCAAAAAATGGAATATAGTGCCTTCAACCAGACTAATCAGCTACATTATGGCTTCTAACCGCAGCCACGGGAGGAGGGCTCTACTTTGACTTAAAGCTGTCCTAGCGATGAAAAGAACGTATTCAAAGCGTTAATTTTATATTGGATGAATCCTGAAAAATAAAATTTTTATTGAAGCCTTTTATTGGAAAAATCCACTTCACGTCGAGGGAAGACCTCACGTAGTAGAGGGAACGCATAATTTGAACAGTTTTTTTCTAGCTCTAAATTTCGGAAATTTAAGAAGTCAATAGCACGCCGCCAATGACTTCCATGGAACGCTGGCAATACCTTAAATGAAACGTTCACCAAACACGTTCGGGTGCTACTTGGGTGGTAGTCTCTGAAGATCATGGTAACACCTTCGACGAAAACAGAGCACTTCGTTTCCTCCGGTTTGCAGCAGGTTTATCGGCCACTAGAAGAGGTAAGGAAGAGGATTCAACAAGGGGTATCAAAAATGTCCCAAAATAAGTACACCTATCTAATATGCATTTGAAGCTATTTCCGTTTAAGTCTGATTCCAAGTCATTGTCGTGAAAAAAATTCTAAAGAACGTTCTTTCCATCAATACCAACAATAAAGACTTGCATGTGACAGTCTGGAAAATATTGCTGTTTGAAATGGTAAAATGACTTATGGGACACTGTATATCACTGTATCATATTCATATAAAATTTTCTGGTTAGATTTATATTGCACCATTTTGCGAGTAGTCCACTTCGGAAGTCATTCCAACCCAGAATTCTATGTCTGCTGAAATGTTGTTACCCATGGCACATGGGTGTGGTCTGGTATCATATATTTTCTCTTTCTCATTGCAGGTGGTGCCATACATTATTCCCGCAGTAGATTGATGTCTCCTGAACCATGATAATTACATTTTCAATGTTCACTATGAACATGGCATTATCGATGGATACAAGCCTCTCACGATTCCATCTAACCATTTCTACGTTTAGCAAGTTGCTTCCTTTATGTGCACCCTTTCACTAGTTTTATTGTGACTGCCATGAGAATGAGTCACAGGGATCGATCCTTGGAGTACGCGTGATCTTAGAAAAAGCCAGGGGGATTCGCCAACTTCCAGGAAATCATGTGAACCTATCCGCACACAGCATAGTCTTCCTCATTGATAGTGAATCCGTATCAGACCAATGTTGATAAAGAAAAGCGGAAAGAAGTTACAGTTGTGACACTGAAGCCCAGAACATCTCGATATCTTTATTCATTGCTTACCATATATCAATCGCGTCGATGGGTACTACAAGAATGGTCCCGGTCCCCGTGCTGTGTATATGATTGGAACCCCGAGGTAAACTATTCTTAGAACCCTATTTAATGTTGATAGGTTTTGGTAGTGCCTATTCCCTTTCTTCAATCCATTCCCTCCAGAAAATCCAACCCCCTCGTATTCTTCTCTGAGAGGACCTAGTGCAATAAAATTTACTTCTCGCCCTTTCAATACAAAATCACTTACGTAAAATTGAAGTTACAATTCCCCATGGTAGCGAGGAAGACTCATTCAATAGTCTGCGTAGGTCTTTCATTCCTTCAGATCTCTCTTCCAAAATTTTTCTTTTCTTCTGCCCCCGGGCTTCCCCATGGCAGTGATTTATACAATGGAGCTCGTGTAGTAGATGGTCACGTTTCCCTAACCAATCATATTTGCGAGCATGACTGTATATATTTTTTAATATTGCATTAATATAATTATGTCATACATTATATAACAGTATAAGTCTGAATGTGAGAGGAAAATTTTAAATACTATTATTAACTATTTTATATATTGAGCAAGAACTCATTGGGTTGCATACGTTTCCTATCATAGTACCGATGATCAAGGGAAGAGTAAAGTGAAGGCGGTGATTAAGCCATATTTTTTTTACCGTATTAGATGCTTCGCAAACGCAAAATTATAAAAACGGGAGACATCATTGTCGACTTAGAACTTAGTTTTTCTTCTAGAAGTGATGAAAAGAGGTGAGAAATTCTCGCGAACGGTCACGCTAGATCTCCAATTTTTTGCAAAAAAAAAGACAGGGCAAAAACTCATGCTTTCCGTAAGGTCTGGTACGAAACTTGAGAAATTGGAGGCGCAGAGAGGGATGATTCTGAGACAATTGGTCCGGAACCGAAACTATGGCCAGTTCATGGAATTCAAATTCTTCGTTAATGCCAATCGGGAAACTAACTTTCCAAAAAAATTAATGAGAGCACTACTGACACCCTTGATAAACTTTAAATTAATAGTTAAGAAGCAATTCAGAGCAATGATAGTTGCAGGAAAGAAGGGAATAAACATATCCCTCTCCAGAAGCTCACGACTCGACGAACGCAATAAGAAGTGATGGAGAAAAAACGGGGAATTCGGTAGTAGGCCTTGAACAGACGAAGCCCAATATATTTAAGTGGCAGAGCGAAGATTGCCAGGACTGCTATCCTGGCGAATGGCTCTCTCAGCTCAAGTTCGAATTGTCTCGAGAAAATTACAGGGTGATCTACAATTGCCATATTGAACACTAAAGATTTGGCGGCTTTCACTTGTAAGGATGTAACTTTGTTCTAATTTCTTATGGAATGCTGAAATTTTCCACAATGAAAATATATTGAATTGGCTATCGTTTGAATCTGATATCATTGAAGTAGGATGTATACTTCCTGAGTAATGAGCTTTTACTTTTGGGGAGACAATTGTGGACCATCCTGTAGATTCGCTTTGGGCTCCCTCTACACTTGGCAGTCAGAGCGCTCTGCTTCGTTCAAGACGCACGCTAAAAAATCATTTTCCGGGTTTCGGTCAAATATAACTTCTTGGCATCCTGGGCTTAACCCAGGAGTGTAGCGAGAGTCTCATTTTTCGGAGGGCCAATGAAGTCCTATGAGGGCCTTAAAAAGCCTTATGTAAACTAGGGGGAAAAGGGGGTGGGAGCCAGGGCAGCCCCTTTTCCTGGCTACGTCACTGGTCTACCCTACAGCTTGAACCACGAGCCGCCACTGCCATGAGGTAAGATGTGTGTCCTGAATAAAAAAAGAGCCTAATAGCAAATAAATTCAATCATTGAATGGAATAAACACCAGATCGGTGTTGATAGAGTGAGGATGCATGTTCACCGTTCATTTTCTAACAGATGCATACAACAGATAAAACAGGAAAAAATAGCAATGAAACGTATACTGCGGACTAGAATGAACTCTAAAATCTTGTCTGAAAAGGATGTTTCAGGAGACGAGCCATTTTGGAGATGCTCGAGAGAGTATGAACGTTGCTTGACCTCCCTCCTCCTGATGGAGGAGGGAATATAAAACTGAAATGAAGGCGCACAACTTCAACATATATTCCACCAGNTGGATGTGAGGCACTATGCAAAAATAGGGAG